ATCTGAATACTACTATGACAGGTTATTACTTCTACCTGTCTCTTATACACATCTAGATGTGTATAAGAGACACCACCAAGGCTGCATCACCATCTTTCTCCTTCCACCACCACCACCACCACTATTACGACCTCGCAGTCCACTCGTCTATCCAATCGCTCCACCAGCGTCAACCTACCGTCTTTCTGCCAGCGTCCCCTTATCGGAGTCTCCAAAGGTCTCATCAGCGTCCTCGTCCTCCTCACACCCGCAGTAACACCACCATCACCACTAATATTACCTCACAGCCATCTTTCTCGTATGTCCGTTCCATCCCTCCGACAGCTTCAACTCCGCCCCACCTCCCCCCTTCTCGGAGTCAACAAAGGCGTTGTCAGCATCTTCCTCCTCCTCCTCCTCCTCCTCCTCCCCTTATTATCAACACCAACATCACCACTATTATTGTCTGTCTATTCTATCGCATCGCCAGCCTCAACCTCCCCCCCCCCCTTTTTCCACTCTCGCAGTCCATAGAGACCCCATCAGCGTCCTCCTCCTCCTCCTACCACCATCAGTGCCCACAGCATCACCACTGGCACTGCTACAACGACCATCATCACCCAACAGCCACTTTCCCGCTCTGCTTCCACTCCAGGGCTTTCAACCGTACTCATCATTGAGCCTACCTGCTCGGCCTGGTGACAAAGAGGCACGAGGGAAACGCCCACGCGATGGACGATGGGGTAGAGAGACGGAAAAGGGACTAATTAGTAGCAGACAGACGTTGAACCTGAGGAGAGAGGAGGCGGCGAAGGCTACACAGCACTCGAGGAGTAAGAAAAAAGGACTCCAACATTCTAAAGAAACGCACTGAATCGCTGAATCTATCCATCGAGCATTCATTCGAGTAACAGGACGATTAATTCATTGACTGATTGACTGATTGATTGATGAGTTGATGGGTTGATTGGCCGGTAAACTAATTGATTTTTTTCTCCTTGGTTGATTTGATCTATTGAGCTTACTAATTGAATCCTTCATTTCATTTCATGATTTCATCCATTACGTAAAAGTAAAAACCACGGAGGAATCGATTAAAGGCTTTAACATGATGAGAGATTATTCGGAAAAAAAAAAAAAAAAAAAAAACCACGGAGGAAAGAATACACCCCCCCCCCCTTTGGAGTCCTGCACGCAGTCTCGCCGCCCAAGGCTGCGGTATTTAAACACTCTACTCTCGCATCCTTCCCTTTAGCTGATCAACAAGCTCCCAGCGCGGCAGCCCGGTGATGACACGTGGCAAGAGGGCGGGGAAAAGGAGGGATAGCACAGCCGCTTCGGTGCTGGACAGAGCGAGGGAGGATGCAACCAGAAGGCAGGCCTAAGCAGATAGGAAGGAGGTATCCTCACTTCCAACGAATTCATCCACATTGTTTGTGCCTACTGGAAACCGATACGAATTTGGATTTTACTATCGCTTTAGCGTGCTGGTGTTCTTTTCTTTCCCTTAAAAAAAAAAAAAAAGGGAGGAATGGCCCCTAAGCGAAAAGGACTTGAACTCTTGACCCTTTTTTTACTGTGGGAATACCGTACCATGCTATACTACTATATAGGAGGTCGGTTCCGCAGAAAGCTTTTCCTTTCTGTTTTTTTTTGCAGAAAATAGCATTCAGCAATTCGCGACGATCTATATGACAAGCTGCTGAGTATTTACAGCAAGTCAAAGAATAAAACGAACACAAATAGAAAAAAATTAGTTTCTTCGACCAACTCCGGAGAAGAAAAAGCTTTTTATACTGTACGGAGATAACAAAAACCGAACGCTTTTCTTGACAGTCGATTCTGAACACGCATTCAGAGCCTTTTTTTTTTTCATCACATCAATTGAATAATCATAATCAGAGTGCAGACCTAAATTCAAGTCTAAGCCCAAATTTCCCATTCAAAATATCTTTCGATTCATAATCTGATCTTTCGATTCATAATCTGAACTTTCGATTCATAATCTGAACTTTCGATTCATTCCCAAGTAGCCCAAATTTCCCATTCAAAATTTCTTCTTCAAGTATAGAGATATCAAAATCTGAATCCGAACTTTCGATTCATTCATTGATCGAAGTCGGATTGAAAGCAAGCTTTCTGGGGAACCGACCAATATAAATTTCAAGAACCAACTTGGTAGTCATGCTTATGTGGTACGTCATGCTTATGTGGCAAAACAAGGTTCCAGCCGCTCCGCACGATAGACACTACACGTGGCAACGCCAGGCACCCAGGTCACGAGAGAATGCCGTAGCTGGCAAGCCAGGCTTCCCTTCAAGCGAAAGGACTACATAATTCCACACACCCATTATTATTTCGTTTTACTAAGTAAGACTCATTCTTCATTCATACTATTACTATTCTTTCTTCTATAAAACGAATTCAATCCAATTAGAATAATTACAATATTCTTATTCTATTGCAATATAAAATATATATAACTATCATTACAGTATTATAAATTACAATATATTTATTAGAAATTATAATATATTTATTCGAATATAGATAGAAAAATCAAAATAGATAAAAAAGATCTTTTCGTTCAATGCCCTCGCTACATTAGACCTCGATGTGGCTCCTCTCTAAAGCTTCCTCTATCAGTTTCGACAAGTTGGTTTGATTTTTCAGGGAAAGAAATGTTTTCTGGGGGAACAGAGGTTCGGGTCAAGGTACGTTGAGAAAACGGTTACGACCGTTTTGGCTTCAAATACGTATTTGGGAGATAAGGGGCGTCGCCACACGGCACACGAAACGGAAACGAAAACGAAACGAGTGCATCTGCCCATGAAAGGTGGAAAAGTACACTCGTTGCTATTTACAACAAACCGACGAACCTGGCCATTTTCTGAGGAAAGATGCACTCGTTTCGTTTTTCGTTTCGTGTGCCGTGCGGCGACGCCCAAGGTAACGTTGAGAAAACTGTCTGTCACGACCGTGGTTCAAATATTTGGGAGATAAACGGTTAGGATTTCCAGCCTGAGCGATGCACGGCCTTTGAGGGCGGGCGGGCGGGCAAGAATAGGCGAAGGCCGCGAAGATAATGACAATGACTGTGAAATCGGAAGATGGTCAGACCGAGAGCCGATGGCCGTCGTCGCCGTAACCACCGTACGTCATCATCGTTATCCCGTCAACTCTCTCCACCAAACGCTCACTTCACAAGTCAGTACAAATCTCTCTCTCTCTCTCTCTCTCTCTCTCTCTCTCTCTCTCTCTCTCTCTCTCTCTCTCTCTCTCTCTCTCTCTCTCTCTCTCTCGGGTGGGGTATCCAGTTCCCACAAGCAAACGTGTATTGTTTTCGAGAACTTACTGTAAAAGCATGGGATGGTGATGTTAGTAGTTGGGGATGGAGGGTTTGTTTCTGTCTTGTCTTGGCCCTATAGGGGAGGTGGTTGAGGTGGAGGAGGGGTGG